ATAGTGAGCCAACCAAATTTTTTTTTTTTTTTTTTTTTTGGTACCAGGGATCGAACCTCAGGACCTTGTGCTTTCGAGGCAGAACCACTGAGCTAAATCCCCAGCCCATCCTGTTTCTATTTTAATTAATTCATTTATTTTTCTTTTTGGCTTTTTGAAGCAGTCTTGCTATGTGGTTCAGGCTGGTCTCAGACTCAAAATGATCCTCATGCCTCAGTCTCCCAAGTACTGGGATTACAGGCATGGGCCGAACACTCCCAGCTAAAGATCCTGGTTTGAACCTATCTTACTAAGTATTACCCTGTTGGGGTTTGGTTTCGGGAGTGTTTATTTTTGTGGTTCTGGGGATTGAATCCAGGGCTATGCTAGGCACATGCTCTACCATTGAGTTATGTATCCCCAACCCTGCACTTCCCAGGCTGGCCTTGAACTCATGATCCTCCTGCCTCAGCCTCTCAGCTGCACCAGCATTAATGGGGTACCCAGTTTGGAGTGAGGCATTTGATCATCAATAGAAAGGCCATCCCTTGGCACCTCTTGGAGGTGCAGGCTATGGACTGGTGGTCACTGCCAGGTAGACATGGGAGAAATGGACTTCTTAGAGACCTTGCCTAATGGTCACACAAAGCCCCATGTGGCCCTGTGCAGCAGAGGAAGTCAGAATAGGGCAGTATGTTCCAGGCTCCCTGGGCTGGTGGTGTGGAAAGCAGGTGTTTCCTTCACAGAAAGATAGCCCCGACAGGGAACACGGATCTTGAGATCTGGGCAAGTGGCAATAACAGAATATCCCTGTGGAGACCACTTGTATGTTAGCGTTGCTAATGACATTTGCTTCCATCTCTGGCCCTGCCTGTTTGGCCCTTCCTGGCTTTTTTTCCTTTGCTTCTATGGTCCCTAATGTGTGCAGGAAATACTGCCTGGAAAGATAAGGTGGGATGGTGCAGGCCCAATGCAATCTGGATGCCACCCAGGATCTACTGGAGACCTCTAAGGATTTAGGAGACAAAGGTCTCCTTTTGGGGTGTTCAGTGTGCTAAACTTCTGAGTGACTTGAAAGATAACATTCTCCTGTGGTAGCAGAGAAAGGTGGCTTGTAGGGACAGTGTTCATTTCTGAGTGCTGCCCTGCCCATGTGACTTCAGAGCATTCCACAGGGGAGCTGGGATCCCACAGGGCTAGTGCCCTTGGCTCCTAGGGCCATGATCTGCAGTCAGGATGGTGCCTGGGGGTGGGGTCTTCCCACATCCTTCCTCCTTGGGCAGTGGCAGGAGGCATGTTCAGGGGCCTGCTTGGCTACTGTGCTCCCCACACACACACTGTCACTGTGACTGTGAGCTGAGCTGTAACTCTTATGCCTCAGTTTCCCCCATAGAAATTCTGTCAACAGAGGGAGTGCAGCCCCAGCTTGGGTTAGGTGGAGAGCTGGCTGGTGGGGACTTCCTTCTGGACTGCCCTGTCAGCGTAGGCTGCTCAGTGTCACAGCAGCTGCAGCTGTGAGGAAGCCACTGACCTTCAGAGGAGGAAATAGGCTGAGGAACAATCAGTGAAGAGCACCAGATGATACACAGGCCAGCCAGGGCTGGTGCCTGGATTCAAACCCCTGCTGTGTGGGTGGCCCTGGTATAGGAGTCCTGGATGCCAGGATCAGGCGGACCTTTGCCTCTGCTGGTCATGATTGAGCCAGGCTCTGAGCCCCCTTGAAATTTAGACCCTTGGTTCCTCCCACCCAAAGTCCAACTCCATGTTCAGGAACAGACCTGAGGTCTGGGGCTTTGAACAGCAGTGCCCCTGTTCCCTGCCTTCTGCCGTCTATGTATGAAGAGGCATGTGGAGCCCTGGCCCTGGCCCGGCTGGTCCCCTGCAGTCTCTCTTGCCTTCTGGCCAACCACCCCTGGTCCCCCGGCTCTGTCTAGGCTGTCTTGATCCACAGTGGATCAGGCTTCCCCAGCCCTGAAGCCCATCCCTGGAGCCTGGTGACCACAGAGAGGGCTGTGCTGAGGGTCCCTTTGCTCACCTGAGATAGTCCTCTGATCCTGCTGGCTGCTCCTTCTGGCTGCTCCTGGGAACTTGCCCCATCACCCTTCAGTCCAGGGTTCCCAGGTGCTCCACAGACCAGGGATTCTGCAGGGGACGAGATCAGGTGCTATGTCCGACAGAGAGAACACCAGAAGGTTCAAGTCCTGGGTCAGTCTGCTGTAACCATGGGGCCACATCACTGTGACAAGAACAACAATACCAGCTTCTTTGGGTTACAGGAACTTGCCCTCACCAGATTTTGGCTGATACACAGTTAAGTGCTCAACAAACGTCAGCTGAGTAGCAACAGAGACCAAAAACTCCAGGGTTTCCCAGGCTTTGCAGTTTTTCTCAATAACATCCCAGAAGGATTCCTGGGGTAGCACTGACTCAGCCCCGGTTCCCCTCCAGATTCCAGAGCTGTGTCTGGCCACCCAGCCTTTCCCTCCTGCCACTCCCCCCTGGCTGCCTTGGCCTGCACTGCCAGCGTAGGCTGTGTACCAGGCTGTGCCGGCCTTCGCACCTGTTCCCCAGGCTGTGTGCAGTGACAGGCTGGGTGGCAGCTGGCCCAGGCGCCTGCACATTTCCATTTATATTTGGGGTACGAGGCATTCTTCGTGCCTTAAAAGCCTTCCTTGCCTACACACCCATCAGGACCCGAAATACAAATCCCACGAGTACACAAAGCAAACAT